CCGAACACACCAAAAGATAGAGTAGACTCTCTTCTTTCATCAGGAAAAACATTTTGTTTCTACCTTATTCCGTTCTTCCTGGACTTGCCTCTCACCGGCGCCATGTTCTCTCATAGCGAACCGTTCCCTTTTTCTTATTTGCCTACAGTCTATGCTCATCTCCCATCAAAAGTGGCACTGCCCCCTAGAGGGTCAATTTGTTACTACATACTCTGTCTAGAAGCCGATACTTACGGACAAGCTTTAGCAGATCGTCCCCCAGCCACTCTCGTTAAAAAACAGAAAAGACGTCTATAGATGTCTTTGGCAGCCGATGAGTTAAAGGCTGATCCCACATGAGCATTAGCATTAGTATTAGCATCTGCTAACCCACAGGTCTATGTCCTAACCATTAAGTTAGGACACTGATCCCGGCCTATCAGAGCATGTGTTAAAGCTTAAAGTTATTTATCTACTTACTTATTTGTCAGACTCATGTTGAACAGGGATTTACTCTGATAACAACTTAATGGTTAGGACACAGACCTGTGGGTTAGCAAATGCTAATGCTAATGCTCGTTAGGCGTGTCCCGATCCGATATTTGGATCGGAATGGCTGCCGATATTCCCAAAAAAATGCGTATCGGCCGGCAGGAGAAAATGCCGATCCAGTTTTTTTAAAAGTCCGATCCCAGCCGAGCGTTAACATTAGCATTAGCATCTCTTAACCCACAGGTCTGTGTCCTAACCATTAAGTTGTTATCAGAGTAAATCCCTGTTCAACATGAGTCTGACAACTAAGTAAGCAGATAAATAACTTTAGACTTTAACACATGCTCTGATAGGCCGGGATCGGAATTGAAAAAATCTGGATCGGGACATTTCTTGACCTTTCATCACAGAAATGATAAAAAATCACGTCAGGCTAAAGGGGAGACAAACAGACTTAACCGGCTCAGCCTCTGGCTTCTGTTGCTTTAAACATGTGACACCCTGCTGTTTGCCATTTTGCATTATCAAATACTACACACACAGCTCCTTTTTCTTTAATTAATTTCCGGTTCCATTCACGCTGAGGTGAAGTAAAATGCTCAGAGGGACTGACGTTTCCCTCTCAGACGCTTTCATTTCCTCTTTTTCTGGCTCGGGCTGCACACCCCTGGCAGTAATCTTTGTTTTTTTTAGTTTATTTGCAGAGTCACTGTGAGTCATGCAGTGACTGGCTGTTTACTGTTTTACTGTTTAGTGAAACAGGTCAGCCAAAACATCCAGCTCCATGAGCCATAAATTACTCTAAATTACTCAGAGAAATGTTTGGATAAGAGTACCTCTTGGATTAAGGTCAACTAATTTTCTGAGATGTTTTTATTCTTTATTTACAGAGATGTATAAAGTACTGGAGTAGAAGTATAAGTACTATATAAAAAAACTGACTTGAGTAAAAGTAGAAGTGTTCTTTCAACAGCATACTTAAGTGGAAGTACGGAAGTACTAAATTTATTGTTTTACTTAAGTATTGGAAGTGGAAGTATTTCAAAAAGTGCTACTCAAGTATTGAAAGGAGGAGTGGTGGTGTAGTGGTTAGCATAGCTGCCTTCCAAGCAGTTGACCTGGGTTCGATTCCCGGCCAATACAGCTCCTCTCTACCCTGTA